AATTTCGCTTTTTTTTCCGTAATGGTAACTTGCATAATGAATTAAAATAGTGACTTCAATAGAGAAAATTGTTTCCAACGAGAATTCGATGGAAATAAAATCTTCACAATATTCTGCAAATGTAAGATCTGTAGAAAATCTCAAATCTAGTTTTTTAGTCCTAGAACCTGAATAAAAGATCTCTGTTCTATATAATCGAAAGAAACTTTTTTTCGAGTTCTGCGTACTGAAAAGATTTTGAGAATACTGTACAAATTTTATTTTCGTCAAATCCTTGTTGGAAACAATTTTCTCTATTCAAACCACTATTCAGATTCTTTATGTTTTTTTATTTTCTTGAAACTTCTTTATGAATCTATAAAGTTATATATTTTTATTCATGCCTTAACATGTGTAGCAACAAGTTTTTGCTATGTAAGAGTAAAAATACTTGACTATTTTAGTGATATAACTCCGATATTGACTTCAAAAAAATTCTTTTTTCAGTACTCTGTTTCCAGTATGTCATAAATTCGTGGTTGAATACACTACTGAGAATTGTGTTAGCACATGAGTACTGAATAGGTACTTGTCCAGTCTTTATGAGAGTCCTGCACGAACGACTTTCTTAATTTTGATTCTCGTAAGGCTTTCAAAATTTCTATTATGATTTCATTCTTCGTGCTTTGCACAATCTGAGATGGTCTTAAATTAAAAATAAAATTATGATTGGAGATATATTTTAATAAAATAAAAAATAATTATTATTTATACATTGAAATTTATCAATGTTAAGCGGAGAAAATTATTTCTTTTATCAATTTAACAATTGAGAAGAGAAAAAAAGATGTTAGAAAAACAACAAGATTGATGGAAAAAACCAAAATATTGAAAAAAAAGAAGATAATAATAATGCGATATTACGAAATAAACTGACTAATAGTCCTTGCGAAAGTGATAATCACAATGAAAATAATAGTTATGATAATTTAATGAACTAGTCGAATTTTTATTGGTAGGTATTTATTATTTTTCTTGTAATTAATAAGCGATGTCAAAGTCTATTTCTTAACAAAGTATGAAAAGTATATACATAAAATAAAGCAAAACGATTTTCGACCTTGAACTCAGTATACTCACTAGGGGGGACAAGTTTGTTCTTTTAGAAGTTAACGATTTCACACTTTATTGATTACTAAGAAAAGAAACTGATTTTATTGACAATTTTTTTGTATTAAATCAAAAGTGTCTCTACTCAAAAATGTTATCTCGAGCAGAAAAGTCAATAATGTAATGCTGTAGACAAGGATTTAGTCTACTTGATATTTACAGATGTATGCTCTTCAAAATATAAGATAAGAAAATAAGTTTCCTTTTCTATCATTTAATTCCAATATCAGTTAAGATGTTATTGAAACTCTCAGCGATATCAGGATTATGAGTATAAAGATTGATGAGTACATGGCGCATTGATGAGATCTTAATAACTTGTTCCCAATACTTCCGGTAATATTTAAAGAAATAACAAAAGTCAACTTAATTATTAAATCATTGTTCTATTGTATAGTAAGTCAGAACTAGTGAGTATGTTCTAGTGCTTTTAATGTTTTATTTGTTAAATATATTGAATATCATTAAAGTTTACTTTATTAATCTTTAAAACTAAAAAAAAAAATATCGAAAGTAAAACATTGAAACTGATAATACTAAAATGTAGAAGAAAATTCTTGTTATCTATCTTTAATCTCATTTCAATATTTAATCATTCCAATCAAAATTGTATTCATCACATTATCAAAAACAAAAATTGCTTTGTTTTTTTACCTGTTGGTTCTTTTAATGTTTCAACATAAGCTGCAGGAAAAATGCCTTCAATATGATTGAGACGTCCTTCATACCAATAATTATCAATCTTTCGTAATAGAATAACTTTATCACCCTAGATAAATAAATTATGATAATAATTTATTATCTAATGACATTCCTGACCTTTCGTAATTGTAATTCAAATGTTTGTTGTGGTATAAAATCATATTTAACAATAGCTTCGCCTTCAATATCATAGTCATGGTCATAATCATTTAAATAATCATCTTGTTGATTAATTTCAATTGGAAATAATTCAACATGATTAAGAGGAAATATACCGATCAAACCTTGATATTCACCTTCAAGCCAATCATCATTAATGCGTCTTAGGACCAGAAGTATATCGCCTTTTTTAAAAGACAATTCTCTTTAAGAAAATTAAAAACATAAATTAAATTTTAATATTTCAAAATAAAAATTATATAAAAAAAAAAACTGCGTTCTACCTGCTGGTCTGTGCATAAAAACTATGAAGTGCAAGCGCTTTAAAAATAGGTTGAAGTTTTAATCGTCTTTAATAATTAATAAAATTAAATAAAAAACAATGCAGAGATTAAATATTAACTTACGTTTGAGTTTTATGTTCTGGTTTTTGTTGATTTGAATCAATAAAATCATGATGACTTATTCGATCCTACAAATTAAAAATAAAAAATTAATGATCCAAAACATAAATCTTATGAATTTTTATATACTTGTTGTTCAGTATGTCCATTAGTACCATTACTTAGTTTCTCTACAAAAAATAGAAAAAAAGAATTTTCTTTTTCTTTTAATTTAAAAATCTTTCTTAAAAACTAAAATTTGTTAGTATGTTAAACTATTAATCTTATTCGATTTTTGTTAAATATATATCACTTACGTTTATGATAAAAATTCGAAAAAGGCGATGCGCAATGAAAACGATTATTGTTAAAACCAAATAAAGGTTCTATTAGAATTATCCTCTTTCTATTTGTGTTCGTTATTACACATATTAAAAAGCAAACTACTTACGATTTGGTTTTCCAACATGCCAATGAAATTCTGAAAATTAAAGAATTCTATTATATTTATATCTTTACGATCATCATAGCCTTATTTTATTGATCTTATATATATAATATCTCCCAAAATTATTCGACTGGATTTAATTTTAAATTTTTTTCCGCATTGTCGTCAACATTAAGACGAATTCAAATAGTTATTTGAGTAAAGAACTTTTGTAAAACACGATCTCAAAAAAGTGTTGAGGTATATAGGATAGAAATTTACATCCACCCCCGCAGACGGTGACAGATGCTAGTAAGAGACCATGACAGACATTGTTGATATGTGCTCGCAGACTGTATATTAACAACGTTTCGTTACAATAATTGCATTGATGAAAGATTATGACAAAGTCGAGGATGAAGAAATATGTCCTTAGATATATAGAACAAAATAATCTTCCTATGATTGACAACATCAGCAACAGCATGTTTTATATTTGAATTTCGCAATGATTGCATTATTTTGAAGATAGAAAGGATTGCTAGTTTTCAGAAGATCGAGTCTCTGGAAAAAACCAAAAAACAGATGTTTTAGTTTCTAAAATTTAAAATTACAATGCTGTTTAAATTACTCAGAATGATCGTGCAAACAATCCTCTACAAAATGAAATATCTTTCAGCTGTCTACAATGTTTTTTGACTATGATACAAGGAATTGATGGAAGGCATAAAAGTCGTTCTTTTTTTCTATTACTTCGTATGGAAACTCAATTTTTATGTCTTCCGTAAAATTGATGTATATTACAAGGGAACATCTCCAGATGTTAAATCGCTTTTCGACCGAGACGACATTCATTTGATGAGTACTAGTAAATAACATAAAAGTCTAGAATTATTTGAATTTCTGAATCTTCATTCTTAAGACATAATGGATTTTTCAACAAAAACTGTCGTCACGTGGAAAATTAACTTTCGACTTTCGATTTCAAACTTTGCACGAACAAAGCTCCTATTCAGATTAATTCATTGGACAAGTTTTAGGTTTTTGAGTATATCCTTTCTCGAAAATACATGGACAAAATCAGTTTTTACACATGAGACAATTTCGAATATTTAATATTTCAGGATAGGAGAGATATTAGAAAAGTTACAACTTTCCCAATGAACTAATCTCATTAAGAACTTTTTTCGTACAAAACTTGAAGTCGAAAGTCTATTTTTCATGTGACCACAACGTGTTTTTGAAAAAACCGAGTAAAATTTCGATATCTCAAAAACGCAGAACCGAAAAACCATTTCATTCTAAACTTTTCTACTACTCGTTAGTAATCATCAAATGAATATTAACTCGATTGCAAAGCGATTTAACACTTGAAGACGTTTCTTCATAAGTAAAAAAAAAAACTTTGAAGAAAGCTGGAAGATGTTTGATTTTGTAGGAAATTGTTTACTCTTTCATTCTAGATAATTCAAATAGCATTATGATAGTAAATTCTAGAACTTGAAAAACTTGGGTTTGGAATTTTGTTTCAAAAATTCTATTTTCAGAAAACGAACAATCGTTTTTATCTTCAAAAAATTCTTTATTCAAATTACTATTTTAATTTTTCTTAACGTTGAAAAACAAAAATTTACAACTAAACTTAATCGAATTATTTTTATGAGTTACTATATTTAATTATCTATTTAATAAGACATATTTCTTTTGCTTGAAAAATATTTTTTCTACTAGCAATTTACGATGATTTATAAATTGTATAATCATTCTTAATAATCTCAATGTCATATACGTGATCAATCAAATATAAATATATTTTCTTTTTTTTTTTTTTTCTTATCAAAAGTCCATATCTATCTCCCATGAAGTAGTTGTCTATGTTCATAGAGTATGTTGATTTTGATTGATATTAATCTATCATGACAACGAAAAAACATAAATAGATGAGGGGAAAAAAAACATATTTATATATCTATTCTGCTTGAGAAAAAAAATAATTGATATAACAATCGTCAAGTATAGATAAATAAAAAAAAATAAGAAAGAAAACAACATCATGTATGACAGGCTGTCCCAATAACTGTAAGAAACGTCAGAAGCAAAAAATAGTAGATCATGTCAAAAGAAAAAAAAAAAAAAATCTTTTTCTTAATGAATATATAATACATATATATTTCTCAAGGTTAAGCCTTGTTTATTTGATTATTATTATTAATAAAAACTTCATCGGTTGATGAAGTACTGATTTGTTTATTATAATTAGTAGATAAAGATGCTTGAGGACTATCCCATTCCTCAACAAGTAAACGTGGTGTTATTTTATGTTCACGTTGAAGTTTTGTACGTAAAGGACGATAATCAAATGATTTTGATTGAGGTAAATAATTATCAAAATAAATATTATCACGATTGGGACTAGTTTCTATTGTACGAGTATTATATAGATCACGATTTGATGTTGATGGAATGTTTTTTTCATATTGATCATAACATATATGAGGATAATTTGTTCGTATAAGTTCATTTATTGGTAATGAATAAACTTCACTTGGGACTGTTTCACCATCACGAAATATTTCAATATAATTTCGAGAACAACTAGTACTACTATATTCAGGTATTATATTTGAATCAACATAAGATACGGATGGAGGACAAGGATGATGAGTATGACACGGTAAATGATTATAATAACAAGTGTTTGGAGGTAATGTTGGTCGGTTATGATGATGATGAGTATGTATAGGTACATAGTCATATGTACGATACATTGGTGATTGTTCACTAATTGATGAATCTGTATCATAACTAATTGAACCAGTTGGTATATGTTGTTGTTCTAATTGATAAGAAAGTGGTAGTCGAGTTAATGAAATATTTTGTTGATTTGGATGATTATGTATACGTTGTTGTTGAGTAGGAGTTTTTATTGTATGTTGATGTTCAATTGATATTGGTATATTATATACTGTTGGTAATGGTTTTTCATTTATTTGTACTATATATTTATTTTTTAATTCTAAATCGTCTTTTGCTATTGTTATTGGTAATCTTAATTCATCTTGTCTTGTTATACGTTGTTCATATTCAGGTATTCGACGAAACTGTTGTTCATCATCTCTAGTTATTTGTCGATTATAAATATATGTTGGTTCAATATTTCGATATGAATATTGTTGTGATTGTTCTGGTATAATTTGACGGAATTCTGATGATTGATTACTTAATTGTGATATATGTCTATTTCTTAATTCTGAATCTTCTTTTGTTATTGTTGTTGGTAATCTTGATTCATCTTGTCTTGTTATACGTTGCTCATATTCAGGTATTCGACGAAACTGTTGTTCATTATCTGTAGTTATTTGTTGATTAGAAATATATGTTGGTTCAGTATTTTGATATGAATATTGTTGTGATCGTTCTGGTTGAAATTCACGTAATTGTGATGGTGGTGTTGATGATAGTTTAAGTACATTTCCTTGTTCATCTATATATCGATAAAGAATACGAGGTTCGATTGATTCTGATTGTAATTGTGTTTCGGATTGATTAGAATGCATCATTGGTTGTTTTTTTGGTTGTTGTTGATAAACAAGTTCATTTAGAACACTAGGTTTAACTGGTTTTTGTAATTCTTTTTTTGGTGAAGTACCTGCTAAAGTTAAAGCAGTAGCATGATGTAAAAAAAGGTCATTAATAATTTTGACAAGGTTATAGACTGTCTCGTTTTTAGCCTTGGTGTCCAATTGTTGAGACATTGAAATACCATTAACTGTTGATGTTATTGACGGAATAGAAGATAATTGAGATAATGGAGGAGTAACTTTGTATTTTACTAAATAAGAGTCTGGTAGATAAAATGAAATAGGACTACTAATAATAGCATCAATAACTTGATAATCAATATTTTTTGATTTAGCTTTTTTCTTATTTATTTTGTCTTGTTTTTTCTTTTCTTTTGTATTAAGTAATGGAGTTTGTTCTGTAGAAATTGAAATATGTTCAATATTTGATTCTTTGAAGTGTGTTTGTTTACGAATTACTGGAGTATTAACAATTTCATTAGTAGGTTGTTTTAAAATTTTTTTTGTTGTTGAATTTTTAAATAAATTAACATATTCAGAATTTCGTATATTTGATAGAATATCATTAAAACGTTTATGTAATATATTATTTTGTTTATCATCACTTGATCCTAATGGATTATCAAGTAAAGCATCAATAACAGTAAATTCACTTGTTATTGTTTTATTAGTTTGATCAATAAGAATCGTATTCGATGGACTTATTGTTGTATTCGATTGTGATGGTAAACGTTTATATTCATTTGTTATTGACGTATTATGTTCTTTAAGTACATGTGTTAATTGTTGAATAGCTTGATGATCATCAGTGAAACGATCAATTTGTGCTTGAACTTGATCCAAGTCAGTAGCACCACCACTTGTTTTTGGTATTGGAAATGTTGGCAAACGACGAATTTCATTATTAATTGAATCAGATAAATCTTGATATTTTTCTCTACGTTCAATAATATGTGGTTGTTGAGAATCATTTTCAATTGTTTCAATATTCGTTGTTTCAGTCGATTGTTCAATTAAACGATCAATTGATGATGATGTTTCATTAGCTAATGTTGGCCTTGCTTCTGTAGTTGTCGTTATTGTTGTAACTATTTTTTGTTTTGGTTGTTGTTGTTGTTGTTGTTGTTGTTGTTGTTGTTGCTGTTTTTCATGTGGTGGAGAATCATATGTGGATAATGGTGATTGATATCGTTTGTCAAAGGAATCTCGGTTTGTACTTGGTAATGGCCTTGAATAATTTGATTGGTCAACATTTGATATTTGACCCGATTGTTGTTCTTCCACTATGTGTCGAACATTTTGATAATGATGTTGTAATTGTTGATTATATGTATCTGTTCCTTCTATACGTATTGGTCCTGTATCACCATCTACTCGACGTTTATCTGTACGAGCAGATGTACCCATTAATGGTGAAGTATAAATACGTGTTGAACTTAAATTTGGAGATGTTTTCATTGGATTAAGACGATTATTCACACTATGAACAAGGTCTTCAATACCAGCATTCGTAGTAACACCTTTGTCACTATCCATCATTTTGTTTAAAAGAATTGATAAAGACGACAGAGGTTATTCCTTTTTTTTGTCAATACGGTTGATCGCACAATTATGATAAATGACAGGCGCTCATCCGAATCCTTGTGATACGATGATGATGATGGTCCAGCGTATAATTATGTTATGTGTGTATGTACTACCTGGACGTTTGTCGTCTACGAGTTTTTTTTTTTCAATGAATGATAAGCATAAAAAGGAAAGAAAGCGAAACGAGAAGAAATAACGTTGTATGTCTATAATATGTCTATAAGTGAAGTGTTGTAAACTGGATAAATATGGAACAGACAACGATGATAATCAATGTTGATCTTAGTGTAATTTGTGGAGGTATGCGTTAAGCATATAAATGCTAGTTTTTCTGTCTTTTCTTCGTTAATTATTCGTCAGTTTTCTGTCTCTTTCTCTCTCTCTCTCTCTCTCTCTCTCTCTCTCTCTCTCTCTCTCTCTGTCTGTCTCTCTCTCTCTCTCGTTCTCCTTCGTTCTGTCATACATATATAAAAAAAAACACATGATTCTTATAACCATCGCCTTTACACTGTGACACCAATAGTGTTGCAGGCGGTAAAGAATAATAAGTGGCCAGAAAAAAAAAGTCAGAAAGAGGAAAAAAACAAGCAGCAAATGTACAACGATACCAAGATGTAACTATGGAAGTATTTCGCTTTGGATTTCTTTTCTTTCATTCGTTTTTGTCTATCGGTATTTTTATGCAAATAAATAAATGCTCGTTTGCATTCATGTCTATGCTGTTGACGTTGATGTTGTGTTGCTATTTATTCACACACGCACAACGAGTTTTCATAAAAGCATCTTGCCTAAATACATACTCTTTGATTCTATATTAGTAATACTCACAATGATGAACAATGTGTACATATATGCACGTTTTATATTATTCTTATATGATAATATGCTACGCAAAACAACAAGAATATAAGAAGCATATAAAAGAAAGAAATATCATATCTTTGATGAAAGAAATGATTTACTGTATAAAAAAATCTCAATGATCAATTATTGTGTCTAATAACAAGAAGGTTTTTTTTTGTTTTACACAAAACCAATTCAACATTAAAAAACTATCAAACGATACGTATCTTATCAAGGTTTTAAAAAAGTAACATTATATATAACACAACCATAAGTAGTAATGATCATATCTAATTGGTCTCTGAAAACTCAACTAGTAGCTTATTTGTCATTTATTGATTTTCGATTAGTCGTTTTGCGCTGCTCTCTGTATTTTCTAGGCCAAATTTATTGATGCGATATATACAAGATATATTTCTATAATCTCTTTTACTATATGAATTATCTGGACATTGTGACACGCCAGATGCTTGATTAAAAAGATTAAAAAACAAAATTCTATTATCTCTGAAGGTTATCAAGCAGTAACACATTTTTTTCTTTTTTTAATCATAAAAAAAACATAGTACATTATTTCAAAAGAATATGTATATGTAACTATGCACTTGATGATGTTGTTATTCAATAGTTTCTTTACGTACTATGTAAGCCTTTTAAGATAAACTTGAAGGAAGAAAAAAAAAATAATAAATAAAAAAGTGCTGTGTATGGTCTAAGCAATTAAAAATGAAAAAAAAAATCCAAGGTCATCGAGTTCAACATATGCGTCTCACAATATTTTAATGAGAATAGAAAAAAAAATATGAGATTTTGAAAATTGATGTCATTTTCTTCAGATATTACGCATTCAATCTGAATACAAAGTAATCTTTTTTTTTCGTCTTTTTTGAATAAACATTTGTAGATGTTAAAATAATATACGACAAGAATAAGTTCTTATGTATGGTGAACTATTCAGCATTATTATTATTAATCAAATTATATGAACGTATGTCAAATATAAATTTACATTTACAAGTTTCGTTGTTTGATTTATGTTAATTAAAAAAGAAAAGACTGTTTTATTTGATTTTCTTATCAATGTACCATATAATTTAGTTTTGTATGAATATAGATCGTTTTTTTTTTGATTCCGATAAAAGATAATTCCTATGCCTACCTCGATTATTGTTAGGTATTTTTTGTAAATTAATTGATGGAATATCTCCACCACGTAATATTCGTTTATAAATTAATTTTTGTTCATTATCTGATGTTGGTGTACTAAATATATATATATAGGTATATAATAATCATTAAAAACAATCTACAATCTGACAACTTACTCATTTGAGTTCGAACGTAAATTAGTATTTATAGAAGATGTGCATATTGTTGGCGTATCATTATTCTATATAATGAAAAACAAAATTAATTAGTTCGTTAATGAATAGATGTGTACATGAAGTTATTTTATTATATATTTCATATGTTGTAAAGTGTTCTATTAAGACTACACTCGAAATATGAATTCCTATTCGATAATTAGTAACACGACCATATCGAAGGACACACTTAAAATTGATGTTGTATTGTACATGTTTTTAACAGGAATTTTATTTGTAAGTGATAATTACAAAAAAATTCAACAAAGATAAGATCAATATGTATTCTATGTTGATATAGATAAGAGTAGTCTCAGTGTCGATCTTGCTGAGATCGATACACAAATTTTTCTTTGATCGAGATCGGAACCAAGTTTTTTTCTTTGAACGACATCGGGATGAAATTTTTCTTTGATAAGAGCCAGAATCAAATTGTTTCCTTGATCAAGATAGCGATCAAAAAACGATTGATCCCATTCATCACTAATTATATATTTATACATAAGTGTGTGCAAGATAAAATTTCGTTCAATCAAAATAGATTTTTATTTTCGAAAATGAATGTTAGATTTCTAAACATTTATAAATGAATTATAAAATGTATAATACTATTTCTTTGATACATATGAATTAATGAATAAAAATTAGATTCAAACAAATGGTGCATGATTTTTTTTTTCTATAGTTTTACTTTAATTATTATTTTTTATTGAATAGAAATGTAATAATTAGATATTACTATAAGAAAATACAATTGATAGATTTTTTGGATGGTAAATTGAGAAATTCTAAAATTTAGACTTCAATATGTTATGGGCACTTAAGCTTAAATTTGACATTAAATGCCTAGAGCAACAAATCTAACAGATAATTCCTGAGCCACTTATTCCCTATATTTTTCTATGTGAAATTTTGAAAATCCTGAACAATAGCAAAAATGTGTTACTTCTGATCTTACAATGGAGATATTTTTTGAAGAAAATTGAACATATTTGGTTCAAATGACTGTTCTCATTGCCAAACTAACAAATTTAAAATATTGGAAATTTTTAATATATGTGAACAGGCAATGTTCGAATTATAAGGAATGTATAATTTAGATATAAAAGAACTATTTATATTCAAGTTTTTCTTAACAAGTAGGCTGATTTTTCCCCAAGTATATGTTCAAGGTCTTGCATATTGTTGTATGAATTTAGACATTTATTTTTTTCAAAACCTGGATAATATTCACTTGAGAAGCGGTCAATTTTTGAATCTTCAAATTATTGATAATATCGGTTTTATTTGAACTAAAAAAAATTCATGATGTAACATGATATTTCTATAGTTTACTATAAAATAGAGATGATAATATTCAATCTTATAAGAGTAATAAAAGAATTTTTTCATTCAGTGCAAACTATAAATATTGACTTTTCATAATTATTAATTGAACAATAGGGGTCCTAAAATCGGAATAGAAATACTATTTGATCTCCCCAATTTTTCAATCGTTTCACTTGATTCATCAATCTGTTTGAACTTAGAGATTTAATAAAATTTTTTATATGGCGATACATGGCACAGATAGGATCGGATTAGGTTTTTGTAATGTTTAAACTGAATTGAATCCACTTCTGATACAGAGAACAAATTATGCCTAGCGTAATAGGTATATATGAATTATTGACGACTACTCATATTCATTTCTGATCAACCAATGTCTTAGACACGTTCGATTTTCTAATGAATGAATGGCTATGACCGAAGAAAAGACACGTTTCGTGACTAAACACAGTACATTAATCTTTCAGAATAAGTCAAAATTTAACTCTTATTTAGTTTTGCTAATATCGTTCTATACATATAATTAGAACAGTTTAAGTTCAATTAAAATCAAGAAAATGAGATATGTTTTATTATCTTGTTTTGTTTTTTTCTAATTAGCAGCTTGTACAACAATAATTATAGATACCATCAAATTCTTTCACATTTCTTTGTTCTTCTTTTTGAAAAATAAGTAAAATCTGTACAAAAATCAGTTATTAACTAGATAAGAAAATGATACTCCAGTCAACTTAAACTGTGTACTTCGTACATATGAATTATTGTCAAACATGAATTTAATCTATATCTATTAAACTACTACCAAATTATGAGAAGTTTGTAAAAAATCAGTCTACTAGATAAGAAAAATCTGAATACAAACAGTTTTCTTATATCTAAATTGTGCACCTCTTATAATTCAAATATTTACTTTTTTTTACGTACATCAAGTTCAACTAATATCTGAAATTTATTAATTTGGTGATAATAACTTTCATTTGTACTACACATATATCTAATCTTTTTAATTTACAATAAAAATTCTGTTATTGTCAGTACGAAAAATTGAACCTATGCAAAACTCTAGTATACAGTTCAATATGGCAACAGGCTTTTTCATTTTCTTTTTCTTACCAATTTAAATTGTTCTGTTGAAGATGAAGCAACAGGTGATGAATAATGATCTTCAAAACGTGTAACTTTTTCTATATGACCAGGAGTTCGTTTTGATGGTTTTCGTTGATCTCTGAAATTTAAAGAATAAACGTAAACTTAATTATTAGATTTCATTCATAATTAATTTACTTTAGATTTGAAATTAATGGACGTACTAGAGTGGACGAAGAATTTTTTTCTATAGAAAATTTATTATTGTTTTTGTTTTTTTCATATTCATATTAAATCTTACCATTATTATTATTATTATTATTATCAATTGGTTGTGATGCTTTTTTTCTTATATAATCTTCCATAAGATCGGTATCACCGTTAAAATCATCCGGAAATGTATACGTTGGTGTATAAGGATTTTGTTGATGGTCTGAAAAAAATTAAAGCAATTCATCTAATACATATGACATTGTTTATTCGAATCATAATAATAATAAATAATAGGCTTCGAACTCAATGGAATATCAAACAAGAAGAAAACAAAGCTAGACAACATCATTCAATATAAACAATATAAGAATTATACATCCATTTATATCTATATATAAATGTACTAAACTTGATAATATGGACGAGTTAATAGGATAAAGAAAAACAATTAACACCTACAACAGACATTTTTATAGATTATTTAAATAGAGATTTAGATTTGATCATATGAAAACAAAAATAAAGGATAGAGCCTTTGTGATAGTTCATTATAAAATTTTGTATAATTATAATAAATTAATTGAATGATCTGTTATCATAAGTACACAAAAAAAAGATTTTTTTTCTTTATCCTTCTTTTTAAATGTTATCAGAATCATATTGAATGTCTATTGCATCTACTTGAAATGCATTACATATTCCTATTAAATATGCAGCACATATACAAAGCTATGATGAAGACATCAATGTACTTGAACAATGTACTCTTTTACGTTTCTTTTTTTTTTAATGCATTAGGACAAAGAATTAAAAGCGTACATAACAAAAGACAAACAATAGTATGAAATATGTTTATGAAAGATATGCTCAATCGAAATGAAACAGTTCTTACTACTGATAATATTCTTGATATTGAGAAAATATAGAAAGTAACTTTTAATATGAATTATATCTAAATAATACTTAGATTTGGTCAATACATTATATGATTTCTTCTTTTTTTAAATGTTTTGTGCATATTAATCAAACAAATAAATAAAATATTTTATTTGTTTTATATTTACCTTGTTTTATTTCCAATGGTCTATGTAAATGACCATACATTTGTCTGTACCATTGTGATTGAGTCTTATCAGAATCATTAGCTGTTGGCTAAAAGTATATAATAGATTCAAATCAACATAAATAATATGTCATTGTATAGCTTCTCGTATATTCGATTCAAATTCGATTCTTTACATTCTCTCGTTTACGGGTATGTTTTGTTCCTATAAAAAAACACTGTCGATTCTTTTGTGTTGTATATACACACACCCCCCATTAATAATGTGACACTATATCGTCATATTTATGTTCACAACTCCTTACTTTTTTTGTATTTGATATTATTTGACTGGACATATGTGTTTGTCTATCTATCCTTCACTAGTCATTATGTAATAACCATAGTCCCTATAGAATGATAGAACAAACTGGTAATAGTAATACAAACAAGCCAAAATGAAAGAACAGAGGCGAAAGTGATGATGATGATGATGTTGTTATTACAACAGAATGATATGTGTGTGTGTATATATACATGTCATAAAACAGAAAAAAACCTCAACTAGTATTTTATGTATATATAGCAATATATGTCATGATTGACATGTATTGTTTTGTTGAACAAAAAATCATACAGATATTGACAGTCAATATGATTTATCGATTGAGATCAAGTATTAACTTTCGAAACAAGTATTATTAAAGATGTCGAATACAACACATGTTGAATAATATATTGCATTTCTGTCCTAGAATATACATATGTTACTAGTTTTTTTTCTCTTTTTTGTTTCGTTTATGTTCATTATTTCCCTTCTGATACAATTTTCTCCGGATGGGATGAATAAATATCTTTAATGATAAGAAAACACCTGACTCGATGATAGATGAACTCTATATGTGAATATAAACTCAACAGGTGGTCGGACTGGTAATACTCAAAGATGTATATAGATGAAAGAAGAAATAGAAGAACGAAGAGCTGTTTTTTTTTGACGGTTTATCTCAGCATGAAATAATTAAGTAAATTAAAAGAAAAATAGATATATTGATATAGAAAACAATATTAAATAATAATATACATTAATTAAAGAAACAAAATAGATGAAATTGATATTAGATTTCTTTGTTTTCTTTTTGTTTTTTTTTGATATTTTTAACTACCTGCTGACAGCGACAGATGACATTGTGTCGTATTATTTTCTTCATTGAATCCATTATATACGATAATAGCAAGCATGAGTTGAACTCATTTTCTATTACATGAGTGCATGTTTGTTGAATGTCCAGATCGATCTAATTGGATGATAATGATGACGAAAATGTCAATACTCTGTATGTGATAATCAAGGTTTAATCAACTGATAGTCGTTTGCAGGCAAATGTACAATCTATCGTTTGTTCTTTCTAGTTATAAGACGTATATAATGACGACGATAAAAAAAATGTTGATAGACCACCATCACTAACAGGGGAATAGAGGAAAGCAAGAAAGGCAACGGCTATAGAACGGACGCACGGTTAGTGTTGATGTTATTGTTTTTAGTCTATAGATAGGTTCTCTTGCCTTGTCGCCGTTAGTGATAGTGTATAAACCAACTGTAAAAAAAAAGAGAAACAGGAGAAAAGAAGAAGCCATAGTTGACAAGAAAACAGTTTTATGCCAATGATATGTTTGCTTTCGCTACTATATCATGCAAATAAACTAATTAATAAGGTAGTATGAAGACACCAGAGAAAGAAAACAATTCTAAATTATAATATATTCACTCTTTTGTTGTTTTTCGTTTTCATTCATTTACTTAACACTTTGAATTTTAAAATTTATCAAAATATACATAAATTCTATAGTTACTATAGAATACTCGAGAGACTATTTTTTTCTTTCAAGATGATATTGATTTAACAACGAGAGAATATTAATTTTAGATAATTAACACTATGTCAATCATTCATGAATATATAATCTATAGAATACTGTATCACATATCCATAGCTTGATCTTGTCAATCATCAAAACTACTAAGCAGTAAAATGCTATGGTATCTTAACTATGTCTAATCTACTCTACAACATTCAATCAGTAATAGATAATTCTTTGAACAATACTTGGGATGAATGAAATAACTAATAAATGTTGTCATTAAAATATTTATGTTTTTTTTTTGGTTTCGTTTTACTTACCATTTGAGAACTGATTTCAGCTTCAATAAATGGTGCTATATTTTGCACACGGATTGCATTATTATTAATATGTTTCATATCAATTTTTTTTGTTGTTAACGAACGTGTTTTAGCTGGTAAAGATGATTGTGTTGAACAATCGACATTTAACCATGGATTTATATCTTGAATAAGATAAAAAAAAAACCCCACATATGTGATATAATTTATGTTCTATAGATTTAATACCTTTTTGAATAGGAATTTCGAACTCGACACGATGAATAGAAATTTTTTCGGGTAATCTGACATCATCAGATGAACGTGTATGTCGATTATCATTTAAATCAATATTATTTTGATTTTTATCATTTTCATCAAATTTAAAACGAACACGACGTGCTGCTGTTGTAACCGTTGAGATTGTTGGAGGTGGTATTACCATAGAAGTTGTTGAAATTGAAAATGATTTTGGTTGTGTTGTAGTTAAATTTGTGTGGGATGGTGACGAATCAGTACGTGACTATTTATAGAACAAATGACGTATTTTTCTATATGTTATTTATCTGTATTACTAATCTATCAATAGTTTTTCTTTCTTTTTTTTTTTTTTTTAGACGAAGATTTAGTAGGCAAGAAAAAAGAAAGAAAAAAGTTTTGTGTATCGAAAAATATTAAGAATATATATTTGTCAAGGTCAAAATAGAAAAAAAAGGTAAGAAAACAATAATTAACTTCATTATTATTAAGACGAAAAAAATAATAATTAAAATGAACTAATGAGATTTACCTCGTCAGGATGTAATTGTACACAAATAAAATTGAATTTATCCAAAGTCGCATTGTCTAATGTATGATGACGGCGACGATTACGATTATGATGATGATATTCATACTGAAGAAGACGTGTACGACTCTGTCGGGTTTCAGTAACCATTGTAATATTAATTGAGAGGGAGAGAGAAAATGTAACTACTAAAAAAAAGAAAAAAAGAAGAAAAAAAAAGCCTTCATTATATTCAAATCTATTTCTCTAAATAAATTGAAACAAAAAAAAAGAAAGAAACGTAGCATGACGAGAAAATTTGACTCATATCTGATTATAAAATAAGTAAAATGATTACAAGTATTTTATAATAAACGTGACTCAATTATAAAATTTTTACTTACCGTGACGAATGAGTTCCTCATGTGTATGCTTGTACGTATATTATAGTTATTTGCTTTGATAGTAGTTCACCGGTCTTCTCTCTCCTTGTCTTGATAAATGTTTGCTATATTTCCCAACCAAGCTTCATAACAATTATATAATGCCAGTCAGTTTCATGACATCGAAGAGAACTGAGTTGGAAATCTCTTGTGCGACAAACGAAGCTATTCGAGGTCGCCACCAACGTTCTCTTAGTCGACCAGATGATGAAAGATCTTTATATGTATAGATGCTATCGCGTTCTATTATGACAATTCTCTCTTATTTAGCTTGCTGGAGCGACAGAACGATAGCATCGGTCTACTTACAAACTCTTATATATAAAGAACATGAAATAGTATACTACGACACCAACGATGATGTTGATGATGATGATGATGCATAGACGGCGGCGTAGTAGAATTTTGGCTTGCTCAGTTCTGGGGTTAGATGTTACGTATAGATCGATATTATTCTTGATGAAAGGCAAAAGAGAAAAGAGAGAAGAAGAAGAAGAAGAAGAAGGACAAGATGTCGATGAAGTCGAAGGATATGTTGTCAAATAATGATTCTTCTCTATATTTCTTTGACCAAGAACGAGAATAGATATCTCTTCAATAGTAGAAATGTCCTTCTACATTAATAGTAGCATGTCTTATATTCATATTCCTTTTTTTTATTTCTTGTCGTCTTGTGTTTAATCTATACAATAGCATAGTTTTCTGGTCGTTCTTAATGACCTTTACAATCGATGACAACGTCAGCTAAATATATCCAATCTATTATTGATATGACCATATGACAAAATAAAGCATAATGGTGTTGTACATTTTAGAAGATTAAAGAAGTACGACGAATATCAAAAGAAAAAGCAAGAAATAATGATATAGGTTTTAATGAACAGATAAGTGTTTTAGATTCAACATATATTTGATGATACATGATTGTTAATACGTTTTGAAGATAATGGAAAATAAGAATTTGAATGAAGAATTTGTTGTTCATAATTATCAGATTCAAACATTGTCGAACGTTGTTGATTACGTCTCTAGAAAAAAAACAGAATATAAAAAAAAACTATAAATTTTTATAAATAATTTTTACATCAACTTTTTTTTTCCAATAAACCATAACCTTTTGAGATATTTCATTTTCTCGTTGTATTCGTTCTTTTTGTCTTTTAAATATAATTTCAAGAATAAGAACAAAAAAACCAACAATTACTCCACCAGCAACAAGTAAAAAGACATCTATGAAGAATATTTAGAATCAATCAACTGAACAAAAATGAAAAAAACAAATACTTACCAAGCATATTACGAAATTCAAGTGTCGCTGGTGATGATGAACGATCAGAACATTGTTTGTCACTAAAATTTCAAATGAAAACAAAAAACCAGTTCAATAAATAAATAAAAAATTTATTTTACTTGTTTGAATAAATCCATTGATAATCAAGTAATTCCATAAAACCTGTTTCATGAAGTGATAATATAGCATGAGATAATGGATTAATCCATGGATCTTTTTTTCTTAATCCAATTCCATAACTTGATCGTCCAAACAATTCACCAGCTGTAATTAAATTACAATCTTGTGCTGCTTCATATTCAAGTCTTGGTGAATCCCAAATAAATGCATTTAAATCTCTAAACACAAAAATGAAATAATTAATTATTATTTTTCAAAAAAATACAAATCAAATATTTATTCAAGGCTGAGTGAGTCCAAGTTATGATTCATGAAGGAACGTTTTTGAGTCTGGACTATGTGCATCATATAGGTTCTAATGAGCTATGTCCCTCAGAAATACCAGAACAAGTTAGTTTCGAATTTCGACTTAAAACTTTGCATAGAGACAAGCTTAAATGAAAATCGCTCAGTGTGAAAAGTTTCAGATTTTTTTGATTGTGTCTATTCTGAGAAAAGAACATCTGAATTTATCGTTGTATTTGACTGATGTGAAAAAAAAACATGGTTTTACCCATCTCGTAATTCTGATATTGCTTGTTCAACTGATAAATAATTTTTTGATTCCATTATTCGATACGTTGTTGAAAGTTCTAGAAAACAAAAGTCTAATATTTTCTTTTTCATTTGATTTAACATACCAACTTGTCGTTTAAAGTACATATCAACAGCTGAACCTTTTACTGTTGCATATGTAAAATTATCTTGAGGATTTCTTAACTGAAAAAGAAAATAATTTAAGAAAAAAAAAAAATAATAATTTTTTTTTCAATATTAAAATAATTTACTCGAGCATCATTAATTCCTGATATACTTGCTGCAGGTCGATCAAGTACAAGAAAAGCAGCTAAATTAGCCGTATAAGAAGCAACAATAATCATAGCAAAACCTGCCCAAACCATACCAAGTACACGAGCTGAAAAACTTTTTGGTACTCCTAATAAAAAAAATAACGAAATATGATATTATTAATCAAAGGATACCGCCGGAGTTGGTGACTTATCTTAAACCGGGATACCATATATATTGTTTTGTGGTGCAATCTGCATCGCATCAAAAGGTATATAAGATGTCGAGTTTTTTTTTCAAATTTTGATATGCTTAGGGTACATTGATTAATCCTCGTCTTTGAGGAATGCATATAATGCTTATAGACATTATGGTTCTTAAGATAAACATATGCAAATTTTGTTTTCAAATTCAATTCAATACAGTTATAGATATTCTACAATTTTCTATAATCAATAGTTTTCATTGTAGCTTTCTTTATACTTAAAAATGGTCTCTTTTTTTAGGTCTAGATTATTTCTTGACTATGTGATATTCCAGTGTGTTCAACTCTGTACTACAGAATAAGTGAGTATCAATACGAAACTGCCTCGAAGACTACAGACTACCAAGCTCTATATGTGTCACAGATAAGATCCTTGAGAACAGCCGGTACTCATTGTCAACTTGCAAGATTGTCTCCTAGAATAGCCTATTTTTTTATATGAAGGAATCGATATATTAATGATACTTTAACTACTTTATAAGTGGAAAAGAGTTCTTTGGCGTCTGGATCCTTGAAGCGAAATACAAAAATATAGTTGCAGAAAGAATATCTGTTATTTTTATTATTTTTTTATCAAATTTTTATTCCTAGTATCCAGGTGTGATTTTTTGCATGAAACTCTCTATAAGAATCTATAAATATCTCATATTTATTTCAAAAATAATTTTTTTCATATACTCGTACTCGTCCGTCAGGGGTATGGAAGCCAAACTATTTTTTTCGTTTATAAAGGAGTTATCTATATCAATTCATTAAGGATCCGGAGCTGATTATCGGTACATAACAATTTTTAATAGAACTGTTGAGTATTGTTAAAATATCGTTAATGTATCAGTTCCTTCATGTAGGAAAATAGGCTATTCTAGGGGACAACCTTGCAAACTTACAGTGAGTCCTGGGTATTCCCAAAGATCTTATCTGTGAAACATATAGAGCTTGATAGTGTCTAATTTTTGAGAAAGTTTCATTTTTGGTACTCTCTTATTCTGTAGCACAGAGTTGAACACACTGGAATATCAATTATTGCCCATTTCAAAAAAAAGGTGGATAGGTATTTTTCGAATAAATTTTGATAGAAGCAAAGATAAAGACGCATCGAATCATATATTATAGATTTCTGTAAAGTTTTCTTAACCAATCTTTTTAAAAAAGTAATTTTTTTTCACAGAAATTAATAGAAGAATCGGCTCAGAATTTCAAGTAGAATATCTATAACTTCTGAACGAGTAAATCTAGAAGTGTGGACCTTGCGCCATTTTATAGATCCTTCGTTATTGGTTCGAATAGATACCTGATTATTCAAAAATTCATTTTACTCATCTTACGGAACACGTTGGTGTTCAAAAACATCAGTGTATGTCCTTGAAAAAAACCAAGGTCAAACTATTTCATAATATACAGTTCGATGCATTTCCATTTCCTCTTTCCAACAATGAAAATCGCGGCTGTCTATCTTGCTTCTATCAAAAGTTATTCGAAAAATACTCATCCACCTTATTTTTTGAAAATGGGCAATAGTCAAGAAGTAATCTAGATCTAAGAAAAGAGATCAGTTTTAATTATGAAGAAAGCTATGATGAAAATTATTGATTATAGAAAATTGAAGAGTACATATAACAGTATTAAATTGAATTTAAAAACAAAATTTGCATAAGTTTATCTTAAGGATCAAAACGTCTATGAGTACTATATGCATTCCTCAAGAACTACGACCAGTCAATGAATCTTCAGTAAATCAAAATTTGAGGAATACTTAATTTCGTATATACTATTCAATGTGTCACAAATTGCTGAACAAAATGACATATATGGTATCCAGGTTCAAGATAGATCACTAAATCTAGTTGGTTTCTTTTATTTTTTAACCTTCTGAAATTCCTGAATTTAATAAAATTCCCCATGTAAACCAAAGTGCATGTGATAAACTAAGTTTATCTCCTTTTGTATTTTTTTTCTTTATTGGATTTCTTTCATGTTGTTGTACAAAATGAAATCGACCAAATGGTGATAAACGATCAAGTAAATAAAGAACAACAGCAATAATATGTACAGATAATAAGACCATTATCCATAATCCATTTTTAAATGGTTGTAAAAATGATTTTAAATGTGATTTATTTGTATCCTAAATATTTATTTAAATAAATAGAAATCTTATCCAAATTCATTTCTTTATTTACCTTTCGTACAAGAATTGTTATACCTTGATATTTATATGGTTTTGTAAATTCAATAGCTTCTACACGTTCAGGATTCATTGTTAATGGAGCAACAATCATATCAGCTTGATAATTTAATAATTCACCAATCATTCCATCCCAACGTTTATGTTTATCATCACCTTCCTATAAAAAATATTAACTAATTATATCGTTCGAAACTATTTTAATTGGATATCCTCTATCGTTTTACAACTTGTAACAAATTATCATATTGATTATTATTCATTCTTTAACATATTTTATAAACTATTCAATTCTTTATCGTATAGTTTTATTTACTTTTTCAAATGATCCATATTTACCATCAGCAACAAGATGTAATGTATAAAAAAAACTAAGATTTTTTGATAATTCTTGTAATAAATCAATACAATAACCATAACAGCAATATGGTTCATATTCTTCATCAGTTGAACCTAATATAAAACAAAACAATTGATTTCTAATTATAAAATTTTAATCGATATTACCATTAAGTTTTTTATGTGGACAATAAACTTCAGATGATAATTCACAATTATTACCAGGACGAAGAAATATAAAAGGTTTTTCGGCAATAGTAACAACCTATATAATAAATAACTATCAACAAAAAATAACAAGCGCAATAAAATATTCTAACCGAAACATTTCGTCTTGTACGAATTCCATCAGGTTTTCGATTTAATCCATTAGGCCAAATAATTTCTTCTTCATTAAGTTTTAATTCTGTTTTATCAATCTATATAAATTAAAATCAAAACAAAAATCCTTTTTTTGCACTGCAAATTAGCGTAATCAGAGGTGTAAACCGACGAGCCCATCGATGATGTTGGTAAAAAATTTTAAGATTGAATAGTATTTTAGATGATAAGATATGGCTATTAAATTCAATATCTGATTATTAATAGTTTCAAAAAATTAAATGAAACTACTGCATTTCATACGTTAGTTTAATCAAGACATTACATTTAAGTAATATGAAGATGACGAATGAATTATTAAACAACTTTGTCCAATATTAAGAGATCAAGTGGCCCTAAGGATGGTCAGAGTTAATTGATATATACATCAAGATGATAAAAAACTTATCCATTTTAGTTTTTAATGATAGAGACTGAACAAACAATCTGTAGAAAACATTAATTTTGATTCATGTTCGAGCTGTTTGTTTTAATTCTGTAGCTCGTGTTGTATAGTGATTTAGAGAAAACCAGGAGAGAATATGCTAATTTGTTGTTTTGGTTTGTTGAGTTCTCACTTTATGGATTATTAATAAGAGATTTATCACATTTCCTGCACATCCTGTAGAAATCTAAACGTTAATCCTTTTTCGATTGAGGATGAACTATCATTGATTTGTTCAAATTTTAATTTATCGAAGTTAATTTTGCAATAAATTCGTTCCATCTCTAATGTTGCATTCGCTATTTTGTGCAAGTGACAAAAATAAATTATTGTTTTAGTACAGTTGGTGGCTTTATTAGAGTAAAATGATTTTCATTGAAATTCTGAAAACTCGTTATATCGAGTGATAGATTCAGATACTAATAAAACTAAAACCATCAACATTAATAAAAGTGTGTTATACTTTTATTATTCCGGATATAGAGTATAACTTTTTCGTACATATAAACAACCGAAAAGATTAAGAAGGAATTTCACAACTCAAACATAAACGAAAATGGATAAACAAAACTTCCGATTTTCTCATTCAGGTATCGATGGCGGTGGCTAAAACTTTCAAAAACTTTTGGTTGTAATGGCGGTGCAGCAGCTGCACCTGTTGTTGCTCAGCGGTGGCGGCTGTTACCTGTTCGAAAAAATCGGCGGCAGCTCAGCCACGCGGCTTACCCTCCAAGCATAGTATCAAATAATAGAGAAAACTAAAATATTCATGCTATATATGATTAAACCAAAATACTTACAATTTCTCGACACATCCGACTTGTATTACAAGTACTCTAGGAGCAAAAAAAATAAAAATAAGATATTCGTACAATAATCTTTCCCATATTCTCTACCAGCGACAAAATTTATATATATTCGACAATAAAAGATCAGAGCAGAACCAGTACGAGTTTTCTCGCCTACGAGTATGTAATCGTACTTGCTCAAATCTGTAAAAGACAAATCATAATTGACTGTTTGATTTTGTCATCCGACGACTTGTATATAGCTCTTTCAATGGCTCAAACATTTCTGCAACGAAGAACTAGTATGTATACAAAGTAGAACAAAGAAAAAAAAAGACATAAAATTGATGTCTTCATAATTTATTACTAAGATGTTTGCATAGGGATACAAGGCCGAGAAATATAACTAGCTTATATGAATCCCTCCATTCATATCCACAAAATCTTAATTTTCTCATTGTTAATCTTTTTAGTTCTATATGTGCTTGACAATGTGAATACAGATATATCTTTAAAGTTCAACGAATAGAAAAGTCATAAGTTTATTTCGTCCATTGGTATCTTTCAATCTTGTCTAAACATGTAGACGTGTTATTGGTAAATTGTTAATACCTATGAAATTGTCTATTCACATTAAAAATAAACTTTGTTTTTAGTCAATAAAATATTGTCATCTCATTCACGAACGAATTGCGATTTATTTTATAAGATATTAGTTTTCAGTACTACATAGCTTTTATCCGCATAGCAAACCAAATTATTTTTTGAGAAAAAATTATAACTGGATAAGCTGGATCGCTTTTACAGAAAAAAACATAGATAAGCTCAACCAAAGTTTGATAATCCATAGACCGATATTTTAGACTTAGCTCAATCTATTCAGAGCTCTAATCAGTAATTATATTTTCTCATTTGTTCACACAGTCAGTATTTGCAAGTATAAAGAAGCTTCTATATCAAAGAGAAAGATAAGAATTCTACTGAAGCTTTCTATCTAATCCTATTAAGATAAATAGTTTTAGTAAAATCAAAAAAAATTAGAAGCATAAGAATGTTTGGATATATTCTCTTGCTTGAGTATTTTAATAAAAGATAAGCATTGAAACTCAAAATTTTCCTCAGGAGTGCTATGGATTAAAATTTAGCATTATCATTTTCTAACATAATCTTTTCAAGGCATTTTTTTAAAGACACTTTAAACATTCTTATCAATAAATCATATTCGAAACTCACTGTATTCGAACGATAAAAGCCAACAATTTTCTGTTGTCCAAATTGAATATTAATTATATTATATAATGATTCAATACGATCACCTTCTTCATTAAATTCAATATTACCTGTTTTACCATGTTTAACACTTGTATTAACTAATGTTCTGGAAAAAGAAAGCAAAAAATTTATTTTACATATATACGAGCAAAAAAAAAGAAATTATCCGTACTTATAAACATCTTTTCCATATATCCAAGGTTCTGTTGATAAACAATCGATAACGGACATATTTTCTGACCAAAATAAAGGTGTATAATTAAGAAATTTAATAAATGTATTTCTAATAAGTTGAGTTGCATCAATAAGAAGATTTTCTTCATTAAATGAATCATTTAATTTAACAGCAAGAAGACCTGAATAAAAAAAAAAGGAAACGTAATAAGAAAGAAAATCTTTCAATTAAATTAATTTAACCATCAAAAAAAGCTGAATTATTTGATTTTAATGCACGTTCATTTATAATCCAGACAAAATTTTCCAATTTTTGTAATCGTACAATAGCTAATAATAATTCATCGATATCTTTATATCTATAAATAATAATCAATTGTTTTTTTTTTGTTATTAAAATGAAATCAAAATTATTTGCCTTGTATGAATAATAAAAACACGTGCTAATAAACGATCTTCAGTTGTTAAATTTAATATTAATGATGTAAAATTTGTATTTAAAGTATATTCTTCTATTCGTTCAATCTATTAGATATAAAAATTTTTTAAAGGAATGTAAGGCCTCCCCCCACTTTCCAAAACATCCATATAGTACTCTTTTTTCCGGCACTGAACTGCTCTATCTCCCTGCCTCTAGTACTGAGTTACGCCTCTAGATTTATATATTGAAAAGGAAATTTTATGATTATTCCGCCAAAAGAAAAAAAATTATATACAGTAACTTCGACTACTTTAAAGTATCTTATGTTCGAATTTGACCATGAAAAATTTTTCGTACGTTCTCTTAAAAAGAACTCTTTAAACTCCCAAAAATTTACGATGATTCCTCAATGTTGACTGCCTCGAGCTAGGCCTGTTTGACTTAAAATGAAATTACTAGTTTTTATGAAATTATCTCTTGACTTTCTTCCGACACAAATGACAAGACATTCAAAAAACATCCAATGCAATTTGCATATTTTCATCTTTATGTCAAACTCATTCTATCAATGTTCATTAGATGTTTGACATTATACTAATATGATCAATTCTTTTATTATTCATTGCTAATGAGAAAAAATTTTACAATAAACATATTTTATGAGAGAATATTTTCAACTAATCAATGACTTTATCACCGAAAGCTAATAGATTTTAAGCTATCAACTATGCTGATTTCAAATAAATTCGCTTAGACGTTCATAGACAGGTGTTTCGGACTAACAAGCTTTTCTCCAAATTTTTCTAAAAATCTGTTTAGATTATAGAGCATATCGAATTATCTAGAAAATAATAACTTTCTTTATTTCAAATTATTTTTTGTTTGCAGAAAATACGATGATGTTAATTGATACAACAGATATACATATATCAATATTTCAATGTGAAAATCTTCAAGATGATATTCAAAATTCATTTTTAGAAAAACTTTATCTGCTCTAGAATCTGAACGTTTTTGACAATATTTTTTGTTTGTCTCGAAAACCAACATATAAAGATCTAAGGAGATTTATTCAGAGTATGATGCATAGTCGATAGCTTACAATCCATTAGTTTTTATTGGGAAAGTGATTGATCAGTTGACAATTTTCTCTCATTAAACATTACAACAAAGTTTACTTGAATATCTGAATCATCTGTAAGCATTTGAAATCTTGATGCAACCATTCGACTTTCTTCTTCTTGACTATAAATTAATACAACTTTTGTATATTTTAATTTTTGAATTATACTAAACCAAGCATCAGCTTCATATAAATATGGTGGTGCTAATCGTATAATAAAATCATGTAATGCCTAAAGTTAAGTAAACACAAAAGAATTTTTTTATTCAACCCATTAATTTTCTTCTATTAGTTGTTTACTTTATCGGAAAGAATATTTTCTCTTGATGTTATTGTTATAAGAGGTATATGATAAAAATTTGATACATATGATATAGCATTTAATGTTAAATCATCATCATCATTATTATCGTCAATCATATGACCAGCAATAATTACTTTTGCATTTGATGTATTACCAATTTCACATAAATCTAACATGGTTAATAATGGATTTGAATTAAGAATAAATGATTGTGATGAAATATTTAAATCTTTATTTGAATCTATACTAGTATTTTGAAGTATTTTGATATGTTCATTATTTATTAGTGCACCTAATATTGTAACATGTGGTAATTTTCTTGTAGAATTATCAATTTCTAATCTATCTGATGATCTTGTTGATATAATATTAGTAATATTTATATTTGTTATTTTAAGTTTAACAAAAGAAAAATAGATGAAAAATATACAAAGATACCATAATAAAGTCATTGTGACAAGTCAATGTTGTTTTATAATAATGTCTAGATGAGGAAAAAATAATTCTTTCTCTGTCTTTTTTTTTCTTTTCTCTTGCAATGAAGAGCGAAAGTAATGAAAAAACTTGTTTGTTTGCTCGAATGGTTAGTAATAGACGATTAGGAAATTCTGTTATTGGGAAATATTGATAGAAGATGTCGCAGAAAAACAAAAGATAGACAAGTTAGTTTATAAGCTAATTTTCGAAGTGCAAGTCTTATGAAGCACTAAATCTGAATTGTACAAGGAAAATTAGCTATTTGAATAATCATTTATGTTAAATACAAATGGTAATTCACATGTTTGTTATGTGTACATATAATATATCAATGATTCTAATTAAATTATGATAAATTTAATCAAGAAATATTTTAATCTTATTATTATATTTATAGATGTTTTCATCATCAGTAAATCGTTCTGTTAAACAAATTTCAAAATGCAAAAATACTATGTTAAACAAAAATTCAAAACTTCGAATACAAAATTATGTTCATCAAAATATTCGAATTACAAATAAAACATTTACTATAAGACATCGAATGGTAAGCATTTAAAATGAATCTATATTAAAGATAAACTTCTTCATTGTATAGATGCCATTTTCCACTAAGACTAGTTAGTAGTATTAATACAGATTAAACGCCTGTGTAGGTTCCATATGAGTACTTAACAGAAATAGTTGGTGTCAATAAGTAATGATGCATAATGTATTGTATTTCTGAACTACTAGACCTATTAAAATAATGGCGTAACCTAGGATGGGCATCGCTGTATCACCAGAAGAAAGAAAAACATAATAATTATCACCATTGATATTTTGTAGCAGGGATTACCTTCAAGATTGTAGAGTACTGTCCTACCACTTATGATCTCCTGATTACGCCACTACATTAAAATAATTGCCATTTATCTCGGCAATTTGAGAATCGTATCTTATCATTTTTTTTCGTACGCTGAATTTTAATTGGACTTGATGATTAATTTTCTAATTCTAATGGATAAATGTTAAAAACTTTTGTATATGAAAAATTATTTTGTATAAGCAAACAATGGAAAATGTTTTATTGTTTATTATAGTTGAAAACATAATTTTAAGTTTATTATTAAATTTTACTGTTAATATCTCATCATCATCGATTGTTTTATCATACATTCATATTATTCGAAATTGTATACAATTTTTTTCGAAAACTTTTGATTGAATAGACACAAAAAAAAGTCACTCGAATAGATATGGTTAATATCTAGAGGACATATCATATCTGATTTGGCGTTGGCTGCTTATGAAATATAGTAATAATGACATCTCTATATATGATATTATCTAGTTCTGCTTGATTGATTTGTCGTTTTTTTTTTATTTCATTCATAACGTCATTTTATAAAATAGTATTGAACTAATATACATACATAAATGCAGCCACCACAATTAAAACCTGTAAGTATTCATTATAAATATATGATCAAGAAATTCATATTGTCTTTCAATAAATGACTATGATGATTACCTTTCATTCATTTATATTCTCATATTGCTTCTATATTATCAAGGTAACAACTGATATTTATAGACATATAATAAGCAAAATAATGCTATGTTATATTTTCTTTTAATGAATCCCATTTGTTTATATAAACTTCCTTATAATAATATTGGAGAATAATTATTCATTCTATAGGAGTTGTTCTTTTATTAAGCTTATCTATTCCTCTTTCTTTTTACATTATTTATTCATATCTTAGATCAAAGGTAGTGGTTCTAATAAGTATTCATTCATTTCTATCTAATTGTTATTTGTTTATTATTTTTTATGGTGAAATGTAAGAAAACTAAGAAGAAACTGATGATATAAATAGAAAATAAAAATGAGAAGTACTCCTAGACATTGATTTCTTCGTCAATACTCGAGAAAGAGCAAATATTACATTCAGAATATTCATATAATTCTTGTACTTCGTTTACTATATTGTATAACTGTTACAAATATTTTCCATTTTGGGTACGATATCGTTACGTCAAGTAATATAATAAATATAATCCAAAAAGAATAAAAGATGACGATTCGACGCGTGTCGATAGTTTGATAAATGTTGTTTTCTCGTGTTTTTTTTTTTTGTTGATGAAGCGGTGACATTAGATTCCATTCGTTATTGTTAATACTTTTTTTTTCTCTCTCTCTCTCTTCTCTCATATAAGATAAATTTGTAAATGAGCAATTCTCATTATAATAATCTTTACTTACTCAATACATTCACAAATGACTCATGTGCGACAATGGAAGCACTAGATCTTGCCATTGATGAAGAAATTCTTCTCAGGAGAACATCACGTACAGCAACATTCACATTAAGTTCATCATCTTCTTCATCTTCGTCATGTTCTAATCTATATAATCATCAAAATGGACAAACATCAAAAACAACAATAACATCAATGCGTACTTCATCATCTAATTCATATATGTCGAAAAAGCGACTACTTATACATTCCCAATCGCTCATACTTGATAATCAACGACATCGTCCAACTATTCATGATCCTTTTCAATTATCATCAAATCTACAAATTTTAAATAATTGGATGATTGTAAGTTTGTTTTGGCTACATTATTTTTTGCATAGATGATATTTTGTTTTGTTTGCTATAATGAATTTGAATCATAATGTAAGACAATGATTCACATTATATGAATATATATGACGAAAACAAAATCATTAGACTATATACTACATCAGACATGAGATAAAAGACAAAGATGACAAATAAGAATTGATGAAGATCTGCTGTCGACCACATATATACGTATATATATATATTTACATTCAAGTACAAAATGACCTCTTTGACTTTAGTCGTTTTTCTTCTATGCATATTAGCAAATAAGAAATCAATTTTCTATATTAATTCACTAATTGCCATATTCCATAATTGATTCGTATTAATCTATATTCAAATATAGATATATTTGAATAAAAAAAAAAAATTTCATGTGAATAAGTTCATATTTATATTTACGTATTATACAAAAAGAAAAAACAAGAAAAGAAAATTTGATTTTATTATCAAGTAGATCTAATTTGCACTTCGAAGGAAAGATTTGTCGTTGCTGTTGTTGTTATTTTTGCTTGGGGTTATTTTATCATCATATCAACTAAGTGCATTAACAGGCTTCATTTTGATGTACAACGAAGAACAAGAAGAAAAAAAAGGAGAAAGTTTCTTTTGCATCTTTCATAATCGACCATTGATCATCATGTGTTAGCTTTCTCTACAGCTGAAGTTATACTTGTCAAGTAACAAAATCGTTTAGAAGAGAAGAAAAATATTAGTACTCCTACGATATACAACAAGTAGAGTCAAAAAAATAGAGATATTACATTTTGTACTGGCAAGTCAATGATAGATCGTGATCTCAATATTACCATCTTGATTTATTCATCCGCCCCCGTTTATATTCTGAGTTTCTAAACGTAGTCATATGTATACGACAACAACTTCTACAACATCTTTGTCCAATAATCCCAATACAGTAATAGAAAATCATTGTACACCGATAAGATCTTCGTCAACTCATAGTTACGAACGTACATCTTATAATTGTACATCGATTACACGTACAATTACGACAACACAAACTTATGTTGTTATCGTAGGTTTTCATTTAAAATTTATAAAAAACAAAATTTAAATAACAAATAAAAAAAAAAGACAATGTTTCGAAAAGATAAATAATTGATATATTTATTTCTTTAGACAACAACAGGTAAAAGTCGAAGAGAATTGGGTGAAGTACATGGTTTTTCTGAAGAACAAATTGCTGGTAAAGAATTAATTAATAATTTATTTAAAAAATTTCTATAGTTTATAAATTTATTTTAGTATTCGAAGAATCATTTTCTTTATTGGACAAAAATGGCGATGGAAATATATCAAATTATGAAATACGTTCATTAATGAATTCACTTGGTTATTCACCAAGTGAAGAAGATATTTCAACTGTGATATCAAAAGTTGATACTGATGGTAAATTATGTTCGAAATAAAATCTTTATATAATTGATTTCATATAGGTAATGGAAGTGTTGACTTTGATGAATTTTTAACTATGATGCGATGCCGTCGATCAACAGGTGAAAGTGATACAGAATTATATCAAGTTTTTAAAGTAAATTAATTTAAATTAAAATAAAGAAAAATAATTTTTCTTTCAATAAAGGTTTTCGATAAAAATCGAGATGGTTTTATTGATAAGGATGAACTTTATGATATGCTTTCAAGACTTGGTGAACATCTAACAGAAGTAAATAGAAATCATTATATAGATGTTGTTTTTTGTTTTGCTTTCTCTTCGAATTAATTTCTTTTAGGAAGATATTAAAGAAATGATTGCCGAAGCTGATTGTCTTGATCATGATGGAAAAGTTTCTTATGAAGAATTTAAAGCTATATTATATTCAAAATAACTTTTAAATCTCTACAATAACTGAAACAAGTACATTTTCTTTTGTAAATAAAGTTTTTTTTTTTTTTCTTTTTGTTATTCGAAATGTTGCAATAATTATTTTTTATATATCAGCTTACATCATAATCGGGACAGAACCCTTACAAAACAGTATACATGTATATATAAGAAGAAAAAAAAAAGTAAACAAAAAACAGAAACGCATCATAGAGAAAAAAAAACAAAGACGTAAGTGTCTTTAGAGAGCACCAATATTGCAAAAAACAAAACAAATTTAGATTTACGTTTTTTTTTTCATTTCTCAAAAGAAACTAACAACATAAGCTTAGTTTATTATTTAAAACGGAAGTTGACTTTGTTGTTGTTGTTATTTTTATTTATTTATGGACGGATAAGCATTGATAATATTTAAATCACAAAATTGTACAACAAATTCGTTTTTCACGATCATCATCTGGAATATGACCATGAATTTCCATATATTTTTTAGCCGAATAATTTTGTATT